TGCTAAAAGATGAAAAGTAGAATTGGTTATTCCAATATTAGATTAAAAACTATTCAAGTTAATCTCTTTCTCACATCCATTATAACATGCTAATACTGTAGTTTTTGGTATTATTTAACTGAAGAGTTACTTTTCCAATTTGATGCCAGAACCATTTCCTATTTAAGTTTTATTTATTTTTGTTTTAATTGTTAAATATTTAATCCTAATTTAACATTCTGATTTTAATGTTGCCAGTGGTGCTAAATCTTCTGCTCAGATACATTCCTGTTTTAATGAGTGTGAGTAGTAAGAAATCATTCAGGCTAGAGGTTTCGACTGAAGTTTGTTCCTTACACTAGAATGAGGGTCAATGCCATCAATTCAATCTTTGTTCATGAATCTAACATATCCTATCATAAGTTCAAAAGAGAGAGGAAAAAAAAAAAACTTTTTGGCCATAATTCCTTTTAGGAAATTGGTAAGATCTCTTGCTGCTGTTACCATTACCATTTCATATCAAATTTAAGATTAGACAGAGTGTCTTCATTTACTCGTGAAGTTCTTAGTTTTCTTTGTGGAATAATTTTTTTGCAGCTTTCAAAATATGTAATTGATAATTCTGTGAAAGGTTACTTTGGCCTCTCTCTTCCCAATTTTCGTATATGTGTATAGTTATGGCTATTGAATTATTTTAAGAGTAGATATTTAATCGGTTAAAGCTGAAGTGAATTGATTAATATCTATTTGGTTCAAGACTTCATTTTTTATGTGCAAGAAAAATGCATTAAAATCAAAATAGTTGGCAATTGAAATTTTTCTTCTGCAAAAATTGCCACTAATTATTTTTCAAGGTAAAATAGCAACCCTGGTGGATATTAATAGATAATCTTTTGTTTCATAATTACTTTGACAAGTATCCTTATTGAAATAGCCTGGCCAGTGTGTTTTCCATACTTTGTTACGCATCCCAAGCATTAAAGGTTTGTGCAGACATGGAAATTGTTATGAATGTTTTGAAATTTAAAAAACAGAATAAAATTGTGTATTACCCCCACCTCCAACATGTATGCTAATATTTTACATAATGTATGTGTGTGTGTGTGGGGGGGGTGATTAAGCAACATTTTCCTATTCTTCAAATATAACAAAGCTACAATGGTTATTATTCTATAGAAAATCTTTAATTCTCCTGACCACTGATACTGATTCTAGACCATAATTGATCTATGGATGATATTTTTTTTTTTTTTTAATAATTCCTGTCTGCTGAAATGGCTAGGAAATGTGTCTAAGATGAAGATATTAGTTTGAATAATTCATGAAGTAATACCAATAAGTTGCTTGAGAAAATCTCACATGTTTTTTCTTTTATTCAGTTTATACATTTATTTGTAAGATTTTTAAATTTGATGCCATTTTATGTTTTAGTTTTAAAATCCTAGGTGGAGCTTCAACTTTGAATCTGTTCTGGAAACAAAAAATGAAACTCTAGAACATTTAAAGTTTTGACTGAATCTTTCTAGATGATCCTTACCCTTGTGCTTTGTGTTAAAATGTCTTGTCTTTCTAAAATTAATTACTTAATTTTTATCCTCACATAATCATCTCAGTAAGCATCAATTTCTCTCTCTATTTTTTTTTTTTTTTTTTTTTTTTTTATAACAATTCTTGACATTTTGTAAAGTCTGTTTGCTTCAGTGATATCTGGTTGAGGGTGAGAGTTGAAGTTTTGCCATTTTGACAGTGAGGCAAAATTTGTATAGATCCAACTTTTTGATGAGAGGTTCAGGGAAATAGAGCAGGAATTTATTAACCCTACTACTTGGAATTCCTTGCACCAGGGTGTTTGTTACATTTTGTATGATTCAATTAAAAAAAATATTGGCAAAAGGTTTTGCTGCTTTTTGACCCTGAAAGGGTCAGTAAATCACGCACATGTCAATTGGTGTTACTGCAATACCCAAATGGTGCCATTTTGATGTTAACAAGTGAAAATGAGAATTATAGGTGCTAATTTTGGAAATAATTATATTTTTGTCTCCTTTTTTAAGTTGTTAGTTTATCTTGGGTCAGTTGATTTTTTTTTTTTTCTTTGTTTTCCTTATATGGAGTCTAGATCAGTGTGTTTGTGTAGGCCTACATTGGCAATTAATGGAGTTTTTTTTTTTTTTCTCTCAGAAGGTTCTCTCTCAAGGTCAATGTTTAACTGTAGTTCTTTTCAGAAATTTAAAGTTTGATATTTTATAATTAGTATTTTCTAATCAAATGAGCACAAGAGAAATTGTAAGACTGTATGCCTAAACAAGAAATTGAACCTTACATATGTGGCTTTGTACACAAGTTGCATTTATTGTTCATGTTTATAATGTTTTTATCAATTTGAACATTTTTAGTGGACACCCATATTTGAGTAGATGCTCCATTCATTTTAAACAGTATATTTATTTTTCTCTACTGGTTTGAATATTTCCTCTACAAAGGGGAACACAGATTTGAGTTCTGTTGGAGGGTGTCTTTTTTTCTTTAATAAGATTTCTCAATTATTCAGGCCAGTAGAGAAAAATAAATATAACATTTAAAATAAACGGAGCATCTACCCAAATATGGGTGTCCACTAAAAATAGCCTTTAAAGGGATAAGAATCTGTTGGATTAATAAACAAAACATCCATTACTTTTTCTTTAATAAGATTTCTTGAATATTCAGGGCAGTAGACCAAAATAAATATACTGTTTAAAATAAATGGAATGTCTACACAAATATGGGTATACACTAAAAGTTATGTTTAAAGTGATAAAAATCTGTCTGCTTTATAACCTTTGCTGAAGTTGAATTCTAAAGTCCAAAAACACATGCTTGGAAATTAATCAGTTACTTTGTAGTGAGTCAGTTCAATTCCTGGTGAGAGTAAAATATTTTGTAATTGCTTCTTTTAAGTGTTTCATCATTTTTTTGTAACAACTCTTTTATTATTTATTAGGTGTGGACAATTGATGTGTTCAACTTACTGTAGGTAATGTAACCTGTTGCATTGTTTAGAACTATAAATGCTTTCCTTCAGAAATTTCAAATATTATTTTCAATCTTTTAGCTACTAATACTTATTAAGATATTAAAAAATGTCAGTCAGTAAACCCTGTTTAGCACAAATAATATATATATGCATTTTGAAAATCAAAATGAATGAAAATGTTTCTTTAAAATGCAGGAATGTAGCCATAATTTTTTATTTTCTTTTTTGTTGTGGAGAGTTTCTCCTAATGTAGCTTGCATTTTTTTTCCTTTCTCTTTTATGCCAAACAAACCCAGCAATGGATGGATGTAACTGGTAAGGATATGATTTCCTACTTAGAAAAAAAGCAAAAAATAAAAACAATGTGACTTGTCGATCCATCAATATGAACTGTGATACTGATTTAGGATTTTTATATCCAAACATCTTAATGTTAAAATGGCAGTGAAGTCTTTTTTTTTCTCGATTCAACTTGGTTGTTATTGAAAATGATTCTCTGAAACCATTTTGAGGAAAAAAGTTTTGGTAGTAGCTTGTTATTATCTTCGATTAATCTGCAAAGAAATTTCTATGTACAGCTGATGTTATAATATGATCATTTGGATCCTGCTGCCATCGCGCGCTCTCTCTCTCTCCGTACTGCTGCTGTTACTCTTTCTGGATAAGAAAAGTATTTAAGAGCAATAGTGGCATGAGGCTTGCTGAATATTTGTCCTCATTGCTTTGCTTTCTCTCTCTCTCTCTCTCATATCTGCTGCTGTTATTTCTTGTGCTAAATATTTAATACTTGACAATTTTATTGCATAACGTATATTATATGTCACAGATAACATTATTTTTCTACTTTTCATCAGGGTTGATCTTCCAGCTTATTTCTGAATATATTCATTGGCAGTTATACAAGATATTAAAGCAAGTATTATCTATAACAAATAGACTTAAAAGTAGGCAGGTTTTGGGAGAAATTAAATCTTCCTTTTTGTTTTGTATGAAAGACTTGGCTATTTTCTTAATCTTCAATTGTAAAAGATATTAAGACATTTTCTTTTATGTTGGTTTTATGATTTTTCTCTCTTCCTCTCTTGATTTCATAAAGTCAAACCTCTCTAAGACATTTTCTCATTTAAATCTTAACTGACCTTTCCCTATTTGTTTTAACTCATTTTAATTAATAAGTTTCCATCTCATTTTTTCTTCTTCCTCCTTTAAGGCTTCTTGGGAGATTTTCTGATATTGATCCAGACTCCCAAGACTAAATTACATACTTTTAAATAATTTACTCTGGATTGCAATCTCATCCCCTCATAATTTCCAATTATTTTTTGCTTGATTCAGAAGTGAGTGTCTTATCGATTTGCTCTTTATTCAAAGATTTTTTTCTTTTCTCCATATAATCAATGAACTTGATTTTACTAAAATCTTGTAACCCTTTTTAAAAGATTTTCATTTTTAGAAAGAAACCTTGAATTACTTGCTAAAGACTGACTTAAATGTTACTTCAAATAGCTAGCTGTTTCTCTTTTGCATCCTTTCATCCCTCCCTCCTCCCCCCCCGACTGTGTCTCACATGATGTTAACAGTTCTAACTGCTAGATGCATTTTCTCTGCTCACCTTATACACTTTGATTTTTAGCTTTTGCATTCCTTCTTCCAAATGATTGTTTATTTGCACATTGCTTTTTATATCCTAATTATATAAAATATAAATAAGCATATAGATACTGTTTTTCTTTTTCCTTTCACCTTTTTTTTCTCTCTTGGAAATTGCAATTTCTATTATTTTCATTTTCTAAAGATTTTGAAATGTTGGTCACCTCTACTTATTTTCATTAAATAATAAACCAAAGGAAACAAAACCGATTTATCAATTCAAACATCGGATCTTGTAAATATAAAACCGAAAAAAAAAAAACAAAAAAAAAAAAAAACTGGAAAAGCAATAATGACTACTTTCTATTCAGCCTAATTTCTTCTTTTCATTACACTTTTCTGATTTGTCTTTTAGTTGCTCTTTTTTTCCCCTCTCTCTCTTTCCTTTCATTTGCTTTTTGCTTCTTCCAATTTTTTTTTCCTTCTGTTCCCCAACTTTGATGCTGCTGACTCAACTGACCAGGGAAAACATTCAAACTCGAACATCTTTTTGTAAAAATTATTTATTTAACATTTCTGTTTTTGAAATTACCCCACCATGGGGGATCCATTTTGTAAATATAAAATTGCTTCTTGGCAAATCTGTGATCCTTTTTGAAGGCAAAGCTTTTCTCAATTGTTGCAGATCAAAGTTAACTGGTTAATGACCATTTCATGAATTTAGAGTACATAACTAATCAAGAAATATTTGGTAAGAGATGTATTTTATTGAAATAGGGTTGCAATAAAAGAATCTGGTGTTATTGAAATTAAATGAAATTGTTAGAGTTGGCAGAAAAACAAGTTTTAATTGGAAAATATTTTCTCTTGACTGTGTTGCTCATATTTTTAGTTTCCATTAATGGCCAAAATTGATTGAAATATTATTTTGATCCCAAAGGAAATTATAAATTGAGAAATTTAGCTAAAAATTTTGTTTTTCTTTATGCACTAGCACAAATTTCTGCTTTATTTTGTTGATTTTTGTGCAACTGTTGGTGAATAGCTTCTGGTAAGAAAACATTGTTTCTAAGCATTGTGCTTGCTTTTGAGCCAATAAAACACTGGCTCAATAAACTTGTATACATTTATCCAATGTACATCCTTTGGGTTAGATTGAATTTCTTGTAAGAATTTTCTGCTGACAATTTGGGCAAAAAAAATTTGTTATTAAATGAAAACAATTCTTTAAAAAATTAGGCTTATGTTTAAAAGAAAAAAAATGACTTACTGTATGTATGTATGTATGTATGCATGTATGTATGCATGCATGCATGCATGCACCCTCCCACCCAACTGCCTTTGCTATTCCTTAAGCAGCTCTACACTGATTGATAGCCATAATGGATATCATTTTGTTGCCTTGGGCTTTTTAAAGTCTGCTCGTAAGGAATGATACTTGTAGTGTTTAATTAGTCCCATCCTATTGGATTTCTTTGATTGCCTTAGGGGTATCTTGCCTCTGGTTGTTGGTTCATTACCATCTTGTCAGTTATTTTATGCTGCCTTTCTAAGATCATTGCAGGCAGTGAGTTGAGGTAGCTGAGTTCCTGGTGCAGTCTGCCTTTCAATCAAAGGACTGCTGTCTGGAGGCTACAGCATCCCTGAACACAGTCTTCCAGCATGTTTGAGATCTGTGTATAGTCATGTTGGATGTGTCAATGGTGTTTGATATGGTTAACCATGGTGACAGAAAGGTTTGAGGCCCTTGCTCCGCTGGTAAGCTATCTGCATTTCAGCTAAAATATAGTAACTTGTATGCTTGCTGACTACACCCTCAGTTGAAAAAAAGGATGTTTATCAGGGTGATACCACTACTCTTGAATATGGTCATAGACAAAGTCCTCTCCATGAGTGGTCTGAATCTGCAGTGCTCAGTGGACTTTTGGTGGAGGTAGACTTGCTGGCTTATGCTGTTGATTTTACTCTATTCACTGAAACATCAGAAGATACAGTTTAGGTTGAAGATAGTGGCAAAAGCACAAAGGTGTTTGGGATTATGGATTAATATGAAAAAGATGCAGTCAATCACGATCATAGCTAATAAAAGGGTCAAGTTTGTTGCATTGATACCATCGAAGCTGAGCGTAGTTAGGGTGCTGGTAGGGTCTCTGGGTGTCTCGGACACCTTTTATCTATCTGGAGACCACTTTTAATTAGGACATTGTAGCATGAGTGGATTGAGGAAATTTGTGTGGTACCATTAAACCCCTACCAGAGAGTTGAAATTGTTTGATCATTTTTGATCTCCCCCCAATTGTTACATCTACTCATGCTGGGAAATTCCCATTGTAACACATTGTGGGCACTCAATGCTGCCATTCAAACTGGGGTTGAGTCTCTCTAAGGACTGTCCAATTAATCCCCCCCCGTGCCTAGACATCGTACTCTGACATGGGTCCTGAAGCTCACTTGCATGTCTCTCCATCTTCCTGATGAGGCATTCCACCCTGTACTCCATCTTATGAACTGCCCTGTCAGGGTTAGTGGTGTTCTGGTGCAATCCACTGAAGAGGCACATAAGTGCTGGTGGGAGCTCCTGCTGTCATCTTAGGATAGGGCAGGTCTCTCTGGTTAGCCACCAATCTAAGGTGCTGCATCGGTGACTTTGATCACCCTGGGGACCCCCCCCCCCCAAGGGTCTACACTAAAAGTATAAACTTCGGGTATAGATTCCTGCCAACAAAAGTGAGAAGCTCAAGGAGCTCATGTACGACACCTGTTGTGGGGAACATGATGGCTAAGAAACTTAAGTTCATGAGGAATGGAGCATCCCCAGTAATCCTGAGCTTCCTAAAGCTTGACCTGATTGCCACTAAGGACAAATGTGCAGATGTATTTGATGTCATGGTTGTGAGTGATGTATATCTCCAACCTACTTGGCAGGGTAAATCTGCAAAGTACAACTTCCCAGCCCTGAACAAGACTGCAGCACAGTTTTATCCTTAACCTGATAATGCAATTTTCATAAAAATTGAGCAAGTTCCATTTGTTGTTACCAACCGGAGTATAATTCACTGATAATCTGAATCTCCCCTAACTTCACTGGGAATTAGTTTGTCCAATCTTTGTCTTTTGCTGATGGTATGTATGTGTGTGTATGTATATATATATATATATATATATATATATATATATATATATATATATATATACACACACACACACACACACACACACACACGTGTGTGTGTGATGTAGATGAGTGATGTATCTATTAGTTTATTTCCTCCAGACCCTTGTACATGATATTGGGGAGTGGCAGTTTATCTGGTGCTCTGGATTGTGTATGAAGGAGGGTTATTTAAATGCAGCATGTATGGGCAGTTTGGCAACATTTTTTTTAAGAGTTGCTCTGGGGCTTGTTGCCTCTGGCACTGTTTTTTTTTTTTTTTTCTATTTGCTGGTACCAGCAAAAATAATCTGTACTTAGTTATTCATGGAAACTAAGGAATGTCTTAAAGCCAGGAAGGAAAAAAAAATAATTGAGCAAACTAGTCAAGAAATCTTTTGGGTGGTTTGAATTGTTGAAGAATTACCCATGTATTGCAATGTTTTTTTTTTTTGTGTTCTTCTCTCTCTATATATATATATATATATATATATATATATATATATATATATATATAAAATTTATATATATATCCATCAGTTTAAGTAAAGTTTTGGATCATCAGTTTCTAAAACTGGATATCTATCTGTTGTGCAATGTGAGAAAAGCAACTTTTTTACCTTTTTTAGAAAGAAAAATTTAGTTTATTTACATATTGAAATTAAACATTTCTTCTTCTCCTTATAGTAAACAAACTTGTTTTCTGCCATCTTTTGTTTATTACTGACTAGCAAATGGACACTGCTTTCATGTGCATGAAAGAGTGAGTGTTGATACCATGCTTCACACATGACTTCACCAATGTGTATGCATTTTTGGAAGTGTAGGGCAGTTTGAAGGTCTGGGACTCTACATTCTGGTTTCATTCTTTGAAGCTGGGAGGTTTGAATCACCTATTCTTTTACATTGTCAGTGACAAGATTCTTTGTGTGAATCACAGCTTGCCAGTAATGTGTCTCTATCATGAAGACAGTCATTAAACAGGATTCTCTCCAATTTCTGTCTGGTTTGAGCTGAATCTGTACAAATATTAGGGCGATGTATTTGGTAATTTCAAATAATAGCCTAGGCATTTCCCCTTCTTGTTTAACCTGCCAGATATGGCAGACCAACTGGGGCTATTTTCTAGGTATTTCAATGAAATTTAAAAAATGGCCGTTCTACTTCCTGAAACTTTTTGATCCCCGACCCCGATTACCACCTGCCTCCCTGAAGGCCAAGGGAGTTTCACAAAATTAAGGGTCTCAAATGGTTGAGAGTCAGACTACAAATATAATTTGTATACATTTTAACAATAAAGAAAATATTGTATATGTTTTACTTTGTGTGTTATTTTGTTTTTTCTTCTTAATGATATTTTTTTTTTTTTATCTTTTATTTTCTTTCTCCAAATTGCTTGATGTCATTTTGCTTTCTCTGGAGTAAAACTTGAATTTTGATTTATTTTTCAGGTTTTTTTCTTTAAACTGTTTGACTTAAGTCCACATAAGTAAAATTAAATAAATTGCAATAATTAATCTTTAAAAGTTTTATTTATAGATTTGATTAAAAGATAACAAAGTTGGTTGCTAAAAACGGAAAAATAATTTTGCATATATGAAATAAGTTTAGCATTTTAAATTTGGGCTGCTTAAAATTCACAATTATGCCACCGTTATTTTGTCGACACCTGTTAAAGGTAAATTAAGTTTATAAAATGGTCTGCTACTTTTAGAAAATTTCCGCATTTCTAAATTTTATAATTTTTCTTTGGTTTTTAAAAAAAACAAAAAAAACAAAACTTGTTTTGAAAATAGATAAGCATGAAAATATTAAAATCATTTGAAATGAAATTAAAAAAAAAAAAAAAATTATTTTACACAAGTTTACAATATATTTTCATATAATGCTAAAAAATTGGTTTAAAATCAACGAATACTTTAGTTTTTATTTCAGTTTCAAACATTCAGGGCATTCAACCTTGGATTAATTTCAGAATAAAGGTAAATCCCTGAGAAATTAAAATAATATTGATTTTAATTCCTTGGGATTTACCTATTTACAATATAAATACTTAATTGTGGATTGATTATTTATTGAAATATAACATTAAAGAAGTCAATTTAAAAAAATATATTTTTCTCTTTTTTACTGAACGACCATTATTAATTATTAATCATTGAATAAATATGAACTTTTATTCATGGAAACACTTGCCCATGTTGCATTGGAATTTTTCACCACGCTGGACCTTATGCAGCTTGTGTTGCTGTTGAAGGCCCAGACAAAAATGGCGAACTAGTATGACTATCACAATATGGCTGAAGACATTGATGAAAATTTTACTGGGATATTTTCTTCCCACTAGCGCGCACACATAATGTACCCAGGTTAGAATCGGTACTGTCCGTCACGTTCCTTTATTC